GTGTCTTTAAGTCCTTAGAGTCTGTCCTTACCCGAACCAGAATTATTTGAATTAATGGGCAGTAAACAAATTTTGAGAACCTTCTATCTAGCATGTAAGATTAAGGAGTGACTAATTTGATATATTTGTTGCCAGTGGTGTGCGATCTAGGCATTTAGAGATGACTGAGAATGGAGGTGATAAATGGAAGGAGAACCTGAAGATAGGTAGACCTTCCCTAGTGAAAAAGATCGTCCTAAATAGTTCTCATTTAAAGGAAAAAATGGCCTTAAAATGGCTCTCTCTGTGAGCCGACAGTGCTATGAGAAAATATTCTTTAATTTGGAGGAGAAGCTATCCTCTGTATTAGTAATTATTTTATGCCATAATGTGTTTTGTGTGTGTGTCTCCTTATAAAAATGGGGAATTTTGAGGGGAAGAAGTAAAGCTTTCTGAAATCATTTTATATACTGGGGAATGCCACTTCTTTCCTTAGGATATTTTTTTATTACTGTGTTTGCATGTCTGAGCGGGGAAAAATTGATTAGGTAACAGAATTGAGTGTCTGAGGTATCTTCTTACATGATGTCATTTCTCATGATTTCACTTTATGTGGGGATGAAGGACTGCAAAATACATCCGTAAAGGAATGATACTTATCTCAAATTGCAATACTGCGCGTACAGCTCTCCATACTGTTAACTACCTCAATACTATGTTGAATGTACAATTTTGTGGAGATTCATGACTTGAAAAACAGCTCATTGTTCCTGAAATTCTTATGTGTCCTTCAGTGTCAGTCCTCCATAAATGAGACAGCAGAGTAGACATCCAGTACATCTAAAAATTGTCTTGCAGGCCTTTACACTCAAAACATTAGTTAATAATTAACACTGGAATTGTGGGAAAGAGTTAATTTGTCTAGTCAAACCAGCAAAACTCACCTAAGACAAATGATCTTATTTAAGATATTTAAGTAATTAGACTTCTTACTAAAAATGGATCCACTACAAGTTCATAGATTTGTGGCTTACTACTTTTTTAATTTATTATTTAGCCTTTTGAGTTGTTATAGATTAATATTGGCAATAGAATATGCACTGTGCAACATTTCCTATTTTCTTATACGTATTTGGTCAACCTCAACTGAATTGACACACTGCTGAAATTGCTACTGCAGGAATTAAAATGTGTGTCATCAAAAAAAAACCTACATATTGAAAGAAAAAAAATGAGTGCCATGCACTCTTTTAAAAAATAAAGTTAGTTTTGCGTAACTTGTGTGTGTGCTTTGAATAAAGTTACATTCATAATGATACCGTTAGTGATATTGCAATACATTCCAAGTTTATTTTTGAGTATAATACAACAGATATGAAAGAAAACAGGAAAAGTATTTTTAATTTTTATTAAAAATCTGAATTCTTGTACTTCATTACAAACCTTGTCTTGAAAAGACAACAGAAAGACAGAATGGAAAATAATTACAACTGTGAACAATACTGAATCCATATATACATTCTGCTAGAATATGGGGAAAATGATTATTTTAATTATATCAGCCCATACTATTTGCACAATTACATGCAAGAAGTCACAGAAAACCCATCCCTCTTTTTGAGCAAAGTCCATATTGCGTTGTGCGCAGATAACATTACACGACAGAAAACAGTATGATGCCTCGTCTTCAAAAATCAGTTCCCTAGTTGGTGCATTCTACCTTAGAATTTAATTCTAAATCAAATCTGCTATAGATAAATGCAAGCACAGAATAGTACATATCTGAAAAGGAATCAGTCACGTATGAAAATTATGTGCATCTTTGCTCCAGCAATGTTCAAGGCACCACTTTCAAAGGATTTGCATTAGCTCTGAGAAGTATGTTCAGTAATGTTCATTTGGGATTAAAAACCTAGAAACAAGGATATTTTAACCATCAATTGGTGGCCAATCAAATCACCCTACTTGGCGGCCTCCTTTTAGGTATACTGATTTAAAAACTACGTAAATCATGTTTTAACACCCCCATAATCCCTTTCGGGGTGGAATGTGGGCTGAATGGAGCTAGAGTGTTTAATGGCCGGATGCCCCTCCTATTGCCAATGTGGAGGTTTTCTTAGCAGATATATTCTCATTGTCCCCAGAGAGAAATATCTGCCTCTACCTAGGATCAAAATCAGACTCCTGATTGTGAGGTGACAGCTCCACCTCTAGGGCACCACACCACTCTGTTTAAAAGCTACACAAATGGTATTTTTAAAATGTCTAAATTGGGCAGGGGCTTAGAAGACCTCCAAGGTATCTTCTAATCTAGCCCTATATTAAATGCTCCACTTATGTGAACTGAACTTCTTGGTTCTACATGTTACTAGATGGCCATACCTGAGTTTGTTACACCTTTTTTCTTTTTATGAATTACAATTGATTATAGTAATCACAATTCTACTCCTTAGCAGTGCCAAGATGTTCTTCACAAAAAAAAAGGGCACTTTTTCTGCAGTGGCCCAGGCACACGTGCACTATTAGATCTATCAGAAAAATAAATTCCTGACACATTAACACTAAGAAATAAATCATGCTTTGAATGGGCGGTCCAAGCAGTATCATGAAGCATTCTTGAAATTCTTAAGAAACCATAATCAAAATATTGTTGATCCAAAAATTACAGGTGACTTTGCCAATTTTATATCATTTATAAACTTTTTGGGAAGGGTTCAAAAATATAGATAATTGAATCGTCTTGAAAGTGATAGTTAGCTGCTTTTTTCTATAATGAAAAAATGGTCAATGAACAATGGTCAGTTGACTGATTTTTATATATCAAAATTCCTTGGCATTAAATATAATTCTGCAGTATTATGAAAACAAATGCAGACATCTAAACAGAAATAGCTTTCTTATTTCTAAACCACCTATCTCAAGCAAGTGGCTCTTGCCTGTGTCATTCATGGTATTATCTAATTTGGATATATTGTGTGTAAATTCTAAGCTTTCACTTCCTTAGAGCTACACAGCGGAAGTGTTCAAAAACTTTGTTTCCATTTTTAGTTGAAAGGATGTAACATTATATCTTGGGTCTTAACTATAATAATGTAATTTGGGAAAATGAACCAAATTACATTATAAAACTAAGCTTAGATTATCCATAGTGTGCCCATGGTGTGAGTGTATACAATAAATTGACTTTAAATTTAAACATAAACTGTCCAGATCCATTTCAGTATGAAATGGGCAGCAAATAAATTTAATAAATATATTAAAAATAAATAAGGAAAAGGAATGTTCATGAACTTAGTGATCATTTATAATTTATTAAATATGAAACCCTCTTAGCACTGCATTTGAATAAGACAATGGGTGCTGAAATGACTGTTAGATTAAGTACACTACAGTACCAGGGAAAATATTTAATGAAAATACAGCCAGATACCAACTCCTTCCATTTGCACTCTGATCTCCACTAATATAATAAGAACACCTTGACATACAACTATCAATTGTCTGTGTTATGCATACTTCATGAATCACTACATGTGATACCCATTTTATATGATGTATCTATTTGAATAGTATAAAGCTTAAGCTGAAAAACCTGTTATTGAACTTTTTACAGAGCCATACTGAGTTCCCAGAGCCAATGTAGTGTGCCTCTGTAATCAAACTTTATGACTTACTGTGTCATCAAACCTAAAATCACATTCCTGAAACTGGGACTTGTAAAGAAATTTTGTCATTGATTTAAAATGTTTGGCTTTTTAGAAATCTAAAATTGCTATTTTGCATCCAGATGGCATAGTAAGCCTTAAATGGTGATTAAAGAACCACACACAAAAAAGCAAATGTCAAATTTGGGACATTCCTGATGTATCCTTTAACCATTATTTTGTACAGCTTATTATAAGAAAGCAATATAT